TACTACTGAGCATTTACTATATGTAGGCACAATATCTCATTCAGTTTCTATATCACAGACTGGCCAAATTTTCTGTAAAGAGCTGGATAGTAAAATATTGAGGTGTTGTTCACAACGCCTCATCTCTGCCATGGTAGGGTGGACAGCCTGTAGACAATACATGGGTGTGACCATGTTCGTTAGAAATTTGTATATTAAAAACAGGTGGTCGACCAGGTTTGGGCAGGGTCTCAGTTCACTAACCTCTGATTTCTAAGATATTCAAAACTTTACTCTCCTTTTTATACAGTACAAAGCTGGGTTACAGAAAAATTAATAGAAATTCAATTCACAGGATCAAGGGCCAATGTGATCTAGTCAGATCCCAAATCCCTGCTCTTAAATTCACTTTTACTGTAACACGGTGGTCCCAGGAAAGGGGGGAGTTTCCTGCCCCACCCAAGGGAGGGTGGAGCTGAGCAGAGAGAGAAGAAGCTACAGAGGAGACTGAGGAAGGAAGGAAGAGGATGGAGAGCCAGAAGGAGACCTGGTGGGGGCACATGGAGCAGAGAGACATGTGAGGAAACTGCGCTTGCCTTTTGGTCGTGGACTGGTTGACACAGATGTGGGTGAGAGACCCATGCGGTGGTGACAATGGCAGTTTTTATCTTGATTTTGATTTTGCTCTTCTCCTTCCAGACTTGTCTGGTTGCTTCTGACCCTTTTCTGTGGGTTCCCACCAGAAGGTTCTTTAGACTTGGGGCAGGCTTTCAGGCCTTGCTTTGTGCCAATCCTGCTTGGGTAGACTTTTATCCATGAGGGGATGATTAACTTTGGGTGCTTGATTTAGGAACTATATTCTTTGCCTTTCCTGTATTGTTTACTAATTGTGTTAAAGTTCCTTTTCATTAAAGTCTCATATGTTTTTTGTTGATGTGGCAGATGGCAGAACCTATTTAGAACAGGCAGGTTTGTGAGGTCTGGGGTGCCCCTCTCCCTGCCCTGTAACAGTACCACTTTCTCTACAAGAGTTGGACACTTTCTGGGGAAGAGTGCATGGATGATAAGACTGCCTTAAGTTGCATTATGAAAAGTCAGTGGGGAGCATAGTGATTTTGGTGGTGTGCTCTGGGAAGATTAAGTTGGCAGTGTAAGAAAGGCAGATAAAAATTGAGAGACGAGCTCATGCTTAAGCAGTTTGAGGTAACAGGTCCACTTCTTTGGCAGAGCCATTCTGACCACTGTAGAACTTGACAAGTTCTTGTTGGTATATCAGATATCCACTTGGCATCACTGAAACTCCACTGTGTGTGTGTATGTGTGTGTGTGTGTGCGCGCGCGCATGTGTGTGTGTACTGCTTGAACAAAGTTTGCTTTACCTTGGTTGCTGATGGATTGTGCTGACACGTAGAGGGCTGGTTCTAGACAGTTCATCTTGTTCAGAGTTCCCTTTATCATGTAGAAAGAGGATAAACAGAGACACCACCACCACCTCCCACTCAGCAGTCCTTGTCCATGACCCCTTCTCATCTCAGTTGATGTTCTTGAGGCAAGTGATCATAAACATTGGCGTGTTTGCACCCTCCCTCAATCAAGATCCCTCCAGGGTTTGAGAGAGTATTGTGGGCGCATCTCCTAGTTAGGGAAGGAAGTCCTCACTCTCTGACCAGCCTGACTGGTTTCTGGCCTGCTGTTCTTTTACAATCTACCATACTTCGTGATTCCAGATAAGGGGGTGCTTTAGATAATTGAAATAGTGCCATGGACAGGAGAAGGGGAGTCCCAGAGTCTTTTGTGTTCTGGAGATTCATGGTAAAGGCTATGGCTGGTTTTGTTATGGTTCACTCAATAGTGCCAGTTGTAAAATTTCTAATTATTATTTTTATTTACTAAGCACTTATAAGTGCCAGATTCTGTGACCTTAATGTACAGGAGTGTGTTTCATCTTCATAATAGCCAGATGACGTAGTATTATTATCCCAATCTTGTAAATGAGGACACCCAGGCCAAAGGGTACAGACCTAATTGGCAGCAAGGCAGGTAAGATTTAAAGCAAGTCTGTCTGTGGGCACCAAAGCCCTCCTTTTTGCCACCCCCTCCATTATCTCCCTTCCTGAGCCCTGCTGAAGGTCAAGTCAGGGCCTTCCATAAGGTGCCCCAGGAGTCTTCACAATCACCCTTTGAAGTAGGCCTATTGTGCTCATTTTGCAACTGAAAAAAACTAAAGCTCAGAAAAGTTGAATGACTTCCCCAATGGCATTCAGAGAGTAGGCAAGAACTAGGTTTGGGGTTTTGATTTTTTTTTTTTGTCTTTAGTTATTTCAGTGAAAACATAACTGAATAGTGGAATGTGCATGGGAGGAGTAGAGAGTATTATGGATGGTGTAAATGACTTAAGTAGCATTTCTAGTTTATTTAGAGAAGCAGTGTGGTAGTATCCAAAGGAATCTAGAGTCAGCCTGGGTTCTGATCCTGATTACTTGGGACCTTGGTCAAGTTCCTTTAGTTCTTTACACTTCAAGTTTCTCCTCGGAAAAACAGACAAAATAGTAGTCTCTGCCTCATGGAATACAGATTAAGTGTGTCAATGGGGCCTCCCTGGTGGTGGTGGCACAGTGGGTTGAGCGCAGCACTGTGAAGCTGTCCTAAGCCTCTGCAGCATGGGTTTGATTCCCAGCTGGCCAGGGAGATACCCCCATGGCACAGCAGACCTCTCCTGCCTCGCCCGCTGCTCCCCTCAGCAGTGTCTTTGGTCCGTCTGCCTGTTCTGCTCCCCGCTCTATCGCTGGTGAATTCTCTCACCCTCCCACGCCTCTGGCCTGTACCCCAGTTCTTGTATAAATAAATAAATCTTTAAAAAAAAAGTCAATATGTGCAAAGTGCTTATGCAAGTTCCTGGTATGTAGCACACATTATATGTGTTGTTACTTATTAAGCCCCTTTTCTTTATAAGGCACTTATGCCAAATATATTGTATTACTAATAACCAACAATTGTATTAATAATAGCCAACAAGTGGATTGTACTTATCTACCAGTGATCCCATTTTACAGATAAGAAAACTTAGGTTAAGAGATGCTAAATATTTCTCCTGAGGACATGTATCCATTCATCCACAGATACTTATTGTATATCTATTCTGTGCCTCCTGGTATTGTGGGTTTTTGTAGGGATCCATTGCTGAACAGAACAGACTCAAAGCCCTGCCTTGTGGAACCTAAAGGACAGGAACTTGAACTGGAGCTTGCCTTTTAATTCCTTTTTCCCTCTTTCTCTCTCCCTGTCAGCTATTTTATTTAATGAGCATTGACATTTCAGAATGGCCAAGATGGCACTCCACTTCCTTTGCTTTGGAAATACTCTTGCTTTGGGTCTTTGATTCCTGACAACTTGGCAGTCCCAGGGGAGGAAAGTCACAAGCATTTAAGGGTGGGGTACCTTGATCTGAGATGTGAAATGGAACCATACCACATCCGTCCTCTTTCACTTACGGGTCACTGCAGTGGCAGAGCAAGTGTGGGTGCTGGGCAGTGCTAGGCGGGGCTTGTCTGTTCTCTTGGTGAAGCAGAAAGTGCAGCTCTGCCTTGATCCACCTTGAGATGAGACTTCTACTGTCCAAGGCAGAATAACCAGAGGTGCATCCTCTGCAGGAAGACCCTACTTTGCTAGTCCAGACCCCACTTACTGTCTCCATTCCTGGAGTCCTGAGGGGTTGCAACCACTGTGTGAGGTTCGCCTGGGCCTCTGTTTGGAAAAGCATGATGGTGGGAGGGTGAGAGCCACGGTTTCTGCTCTGTGATCACATGGTCTCTGGGAAGATCTCCCAGGGGGATCCCCTGATCACCTTTATCACTTGAGTGGAGACATCATGTGGGTTAGAACACGAACTTGTTGCTATTCATATATGTGCCTGTTGATATGGGATAGTTCTTTTTCCCCATGTTTGTTGAGGTAAAGTAGGTTTATATATTTGTGTCTGCTCTGGGGGTTGTGGGCTCAAACCTCTACAAATGTTTGGGTTCATTCTTTTTTTGGACAATCATTTGTATCATTCTAGGGAAAAAAAAGTGCTAATACACAGACCCACCTGTGCGCCCCACGAACTCACAGTACATGTAGGAACTTAACACTCCAGCTTGATAGGAAATGATTTTATTTATTTTTTTTTGGCATATGTCAGTTAAGAAGAAAGTTTTTAGGTGAATTTTCTTGTGCTTGTCAACCTGGTTGAAATTAGATATTCTTCTGTACTGGTGATTAAGTGGGCCCCTCATGTCCCCAGGGGGTCTGCTTTCCTAATTGTGGGTGACCCAGTCTCCACCTCTCAGGGTGCTGTGAACACACGTTCTGTGTTTAAATGTATTGAAATTTGCTGAGGATTTTGTTCACAGAATCTCAACTGTGAAAGTGATGCTGGGCTTTTAAATTAAATTGATTAAATTTGAGATTACGGTGAAACCATCAAAAACTCCACTCACACAGGGTAATTGACGGGCTCTGTGTTTCCCCACTTGGCTTCTTTACAGGGGACCCTGGCTCCTGAGAACCAGGCTGACTCAATAGCCTTCCTCACCCTGAAATGGCCCATTAAAAGATGCCTGTTGGGTGGTAACCTCCCCATACGTTTTCTCAATAAAGAGGAAAAGATGGGCAGGGGTGGGGTGGTGGCGGTGGGGTTGGGGAGACTGCTGTTGCATTTAGAGCTGCAGCCTCTCAAAGCCATGGGGCAGACTGTTTAGTTCCGTGTCCCCTGTCCCATTCAGGCCCCTGCATGTTTGGACGCTTTCTTTAGCTTTTCCCTGAGCCTTGACGGCAGATCTCTCAATAGGGGAAAGCCCAGCTCAGATTAGCTGAATGCCTCTTAGGCACAATGCTCTGCATGCTAATGGCACTGGCCGGCCCCCACCGACCGACTGCTCCCCAGTGGGACTCTGGATGTTGCCCAGACCCAAGCAGCTGCCTCAGATTCCGAGATGGGGTCCGACTGGCTTCCTAAAGTTGCCTTTTTTTCTTTTTTGTAGATCTACACGGACTGGGCCAATCATTATCTAGCCAAATCGGGCCACAAACGTCTCATCAAGGATCTTCAGCAAGATGTGACGGATGGTGTCCTCCTGGCCCAGATTATCCAGGTTGTGGGTAAGTGCAGGTTTTGTGTTGGGGGTCGCTCAGTTCCAGTGGAAACCCGCAAAGGATGGAGTCAGACAAGGAGGAGGGAACATTGAAATCTCTAAGAAAACCGTGGCGTTCCTGTCACACGTGTTTACAATTTATTTGATTCCGTTTTACACTCGGGGAGTGTGGGTGCCAGCTCGATTTTTCTGATAAGTCACCCACACAGCAATCTCATCCTGATTTTTTACAAAGAAAGATTGACCCTGGCTGGAGGGAAACGCTGGTGGTTGGGGAGGGGCCCTCTATCCCCTGTCTTGCCTCTGACTATCTTTCTGGTGCTCTCGTTTCCTCCCTCTGATGGTACTTTTTTGGGTGAATTATTCTGGAAATATTTCAGAAATAGAAAACCCCCACAACGTGGGGCTGGTTTATCCTGCCAACTCTAATTGGGTCTGAGAAATCAAAGGATCCCTCCACAGAGCGTTGGTTCTGGTTATAATAGTAGGGGGAGGGAAGCAGCAGTGGGGGGATTTTTAATGTCTTGGCTGCAAACTGGGAGGAGAAGGTTCACCTGGGAAGGCACGTGGCTGGAGGCCGGTCCTGCTCTGCCTGGGGTCTTAAGCTTCCCAGTGGTTCTGCCTGAGAGCTCAGAGCAGACTGAGAAGAAGGGAGGTCAATTAGACGGCATTAGGCTGATTATTGTTGCTGGCAGCCTTGGCGGCAGACTCTTCCATGCCAAGAAAGAGCCCGAGGGAAGGCGAGCAGCCCTCTGGCATGTGTTAGTGAGGAAAAGTGGCTTATCCTTCAAGGGTGAGAAGTTGCCGTAGCTCTGCCCACCTCTTGAGATTGTACCTGAAAATGGCCAAGTTGACCTTAGCTGAAACTAGGACTGCCTGTGCCACTGACAGAAAAAGATGTTTCCTTGATATCCTAAAGCTGATTTAGAAATTTTTCCTTTCTTATTTCCTTCTCTCTGTATATTTGTTTTTAAGTTGCCATATAAAGAATTGTCTCAAATGTAGAGACTTAGAGCAATGCATGGATATCATCCCATAGTTTTTGTGCCTCAGGAGTCCAGGCATAGCTTACCCAGGTGCAAAGCTACAGTCATGGTGTTCGCCAGGGTTGAGTTCTTATCTGAAGGCTTGTCTGGGATGGGGTCAAGTTCAATCATTTCTTTGCACCTAATAAGAGTATGGGTCCTGATTACTTGGCGCTGATTAGAGGCTTCCCTTAGCTCTTTGCCATGTGGGTCTCCCACTGTAAAAGCTGCAACTGAGTGCTTCAGTGCCAGGAGGGGAGAAAGCTAGAGCAAGTATGGTAGCGAGAAGGTATTTTATATTGTGACATTATCATGGGAGTGACATCTCACTGCCTTTGCTGTATTCTATCAGCTCCTGCCTTGCTCACTCTGGGAGGGAGTGCATGGAGTAGTGACTGTAGAAGGGCTTGGACTTAAATGGGATGGTAATTGGAAGTCACCTTGAAGTTTTTCTGCCACATTTTTCTTCCTCTCTTCATCATCACTCATACCAAGATCTTTTAAAAACTTTTTCATATTTACCTCATTTTAAAAACTTTTCAAATTTTCCTAACATCCTTATGAAGCAGGTGGTATTCTCCCCATTTTATAGATGCAGAAACTGAGGTCCATTGTGTCTCAGTATCCCAGTATAATACAAAGGAATGTAACACAGATAAATCTGTTCTTTTGCCCTGCTGCATAATGTGCTCTCTCAACCCAGAGATGCTACACCTAGTAGAAGGCTAAGACTCCCTTCAGTTCAGTAACCATTTATTGAACATTTTATGTATGACAGCATTTTGCTCCTTATTAGGAAAAATCAGAGAAATGTCCAAAACTCATAACCTTGGAAGAAAGAGTAGCTTCTTGGCAAGTTCTTCCTGGAAGGGATGACTGGCATCTGAGCTGGGTTTTGATCTCCATATCTAATCAGTCACATCACTCACCTACTCTGGTTGAGTTTTGGGACAGAACAGAGTGTTTCCACCAGGAACCTCCTCAGCTTTCAGCAGAAGGAGCAAAAGTGAAAGTGGCAAAGAATGGTAGCATGAGGTCTTACAGTCATCTCAGTACCATCTCCTTCCAATTTGGGACCTTAGAAGAGCCTTTAACCTCTGTGGCTCTGTTTCCCCTTCTTTAACACTGGCAGGACCATGCCTGCTTTGTCTGATCTTGTGGCAGTCTTAAGAAATGCAAGGTAGGGCCTCCCCGGTGGCGCAGCGGTTGAGCGCTGGGTTGCGAGGCTGCCTGCGGCCTCTGCAGCGCTGGTTCGATCCCCAGCTGCTCCCCGGCCACCAGAGGAGGGTCCCGCATGGCACGCAGACGTCTCCTGCCGCCCGCTGCTCCCCTCAGCAGTGTACTTCAGTCCTTCTGCCTGCTCTGCTCCCCGCTCTGGCTCTGGTGAATTCTCTCACCCTCCCACGCTTCTGACTGTACCCAGTGCTTGTATAAATAAATAAAAATAAATAAATAAATAAATCTTAAAAAAAAAAAATGCAAGGTAGATTTCAAATATGAACTATGTTAATAAACTGTGAAGTGGCCCTTAATAGCACTTGGTAACTAACCACTGCCTAAACGTCTGCCTAGATACCAGTCTAGGCATGATGAGGCCTTGGTGTCAGTGTTAGAGAGCATCATGGTAGGTAAGTTATGTCTGACATGGTCTCAGAGGGTGGATAATAACATGTATGTCATGGATTCACTCAGCATAGTGCCGAGAAAATGTAAGCTGGCAGTTTTTTTATCATTGTTCAGGAGTATGCTTCATCTCTTCAGATGACTTGAACCTCCTTAGACAGTGGCCCCTCTGGGCCTGAGCTACTGGACTGACTTTAGAGGCTCAAATCAGTATTAATAACCAGACTCCCCTTCAGTCATCCAAGAGAGTATTTCTCTAGAAAGGACTCCTAAGCATGCCAAATATCAGCACATGGACCTCTATCTCTGACTGTCTTGCTGTGTACCCTCAGCTCTGGATGTGGAGGACAGAGACCCAGAAGATGGGGAGCTGAGAAGGCAGCTAGATGTAGCAGTCTCCTGTATGACTTCTAGGTTGTCTTCAGCCAACCTAGTGTTTAATCTTACAATATCTTGTGAACACAGATCTGTTGGTGAGGGGTAGGGAACAGCATATTCTGACCAGGATTCTGAAATATTGACCCATTATGCTCTTTACATTCAGTGTCCTTGCTTTCCCCCACACATGGGCCCATTAGAAGAATAAATAGAAAGGTATATTTGTAAGTATACATGTGTTTAATGTATATGTATGTGTATGTATATTTCTCTCAATATATAAACAATTATATATAAATAATTGTATGTGTACATATACATATATGTGTATATGTGTGTATATACATTTGCAGAGTTGTAGACTTGGTGGCTCTGTCTTGTGCTGGACAGGATTCTAGTGATTATAGTGCTCTGGTTGGTAAGCTGCCACTCATTCTTGAAAAGTCAGTTTCTCTCTCTGACATTTTTTCTAATCCCCCAGATAGCTGGAGAGACCCTCCTCTATCAACCCACAGGCTGATTTCATAAGTCTGGGTCTTCTGTAGGCCTGGGTCTGATTCATACTCTTTTTTTGGCTCATAGGATTTTGCATGGTTTTTGGCGGGCAGTGATGCTCAAGAAATTCAAGAGGATTAAGGCTGAGAATTTTATTCAGTGCAGCCCCTGCTTCTGCAGGCCTGGGGTTGGATTCTTTCCAACAGGTGGCCTGGATGTTTCCCCTTCTCAGAGTTTAGTTTTCTTTTGAACATTCCTCTGAACTGTATGGTGCCACCTCCTCCTCTCTAGGATTCTGCTACAGATCTCAACTCTTAAAATTTGAACGGGACTTTTAAAAGCCCCAACATGAGGCATGAGTTGCTTCTCTGAAAAGTGATTAAAGGATTATTAAATACCTCCTGTGATGGGAAGCTTTCTACTGACTCAGATAGCTAGTTTCAATGTTGGAGAATTGGATCTTTTAAAAACTCTTCTTTCATTAGGTTGTAATCTGCCCCTCTTGGTGATTTCTCCCCACAATTACAAGTTCTGCCCTCTTAGGCCGCAAAGAATAATCTAAATTGAGATGAGAGTATCAAAATAATTGAGGATGGTTGTAGATGATAAACATGGAATAAAATAGGGCTCTGCAAGTGTACACTGATAGATAAATCAATGGGAAGAGAAGAGAAAACTCAGCTGTCCAGCAGACTGCTGACTGATAAATGTGGAGAGACTGGCCACCATTATTGTAGAGATTAGTAAAGGCAAGAATCATCGATGGATGCTAAATCTAGTGTAGAAAGTTTGATGAGAAATCGGCTGTTTGCATGGCCTCAAAGTGTCTCTCCACTGCTGGTTAGTTGCAAGGGGAAAATGTAACAATCTTATGGGAGAGAAGCCAGATCCCTGATGTGAAACACTAAAAGAACACATAATCGGGGCCTCCCCTGGTAGCGCAGGGGTTGAGCGCTGGGCTGCAAGGCTGCCCGCAGCCTCTGCAGCACCAGTTCGTTCCCCAGCCGCCAGCGAGGGTCCCACAGGAAAAAAAAAAAAAAAAAAAAAAAGAACACATAATTTAGGATCCCAGGCAGTGATGGAAACCTGAAACTAATCAGGAATCCTAAATAAACCAAAATGATGGACTATTCTATTGGGGGAAAAAAAAAAAAAACTGGCCTGTATTCAAAAATGCCAGCGCCATGAAAGGTTAAGGTAGAAAAAGTAGTCTAGAATAAAGGATACTAAAGAGACATGACCACTAAATGCACTACATGGTCCTGGAGTAGATCCTGTTCAGGGAAATAAAACGCTATAAAAAGACACTTTTGAGTCAGTTGAAAAACTTGGGATTTGGGGATTATGTCAATATTAAATTTTCTTAATTTTACTATTATGCCATCAGATAATTGCTTTGTTCTTTAGATATACATACTAAGTAGAAAGGGCGAAGGACAGGCTCTAAGTAGTCTATGCTAACATGATTCAGGGGGGAAAAAATGGG